GGTGCACCACGTGGAGGTAAGTCTATCGCACACCCCACTGGACAAATATATATGCAATGCATTTTCACCCGTTATCTTCATTTAAGTACATTAAAGGTATTTGTAGCCTTCCATGGCAAAATCTTCCTCTTCTGAAATTAGCTCTGCTACGCAGTGTTTATTACAAGCTATGGTCAATTGTAAATAAGTAAATGAATACCACTAAAACAATCTCAAATAAATATTCCCCTCTGATTGGCTAGAAAGACCTTTACATACACGTCCCCGCGTGCTCATAAAGTAACTGATGGCAAGGCCGAGCTTTCTAAAATTGGGAGATTACCTTGGTTGACCTTGACAGCGCTGTACACACCCCACAGCATCACCTTTAATGCATTTATATTTCAATCCTCTATAATTCTCTTATCCCAACACCCTTTTTCTTTGAAAGCTCTCGGTCGATATTTTCTGACTTAAGTTGTCGCTTTAGCAATCTATTTTTAAATTGGAGTTTTTCTTAACAAATACCCAATCGATGAAATCAATTAATGCGAGTTCTTGAGGTAATTCCAATTTGCGTATAATCATTCAAAATTGTAATTTTACCATTTTTAGTGGAATATTTACATCTCCTGATCAGCTTTTCATGTTTTACACCATAAATTACCCTTTCCGTTAAAATAAGTTAGTAAATGGAATCTTGTATATTATTTTCATTTTCATCTGAATGAAAACTCATGGATTTTGTTAAAACATATTAATTTTTTTTGTCAATTGTGTTAATTGAAAGTAGAATGTTAAGATGTCATCTGATAGTTCCTTCTGCAAGCACTTTTCCTGAAGTCAATATACTCTGACGATATTTGTTTCTGTGAATATTTAAAAATCGCGGAAATAAAAAAAACAATTTCGATTCAGAGTATTTCATGAAATTGAGAATTAAAAATTGTACAAGGAGTTTCTTGACATTCTGACCCCTTCAACATACAACCCGACTCCTTCCTTCCCTAAACCTTTACCTCGCTTATAATCTCGTCAGACATTTACTTAACTATTTATTGTGCTATTTCCTTATTATAAATATATTCACATTATTTTTATAATTGCAAATGCTTCCCTATGGTCTTGTAGTAAGCATTATATCATTGACAGAATTGGCGTTCTTAATGTACTGTGGGACACATTATCGTTGTGTGCGTCATCGCATGTCCGCATGTCTGCTCGCCAGGTTTGGGAGGTGCGGCCGTGCAACTCTGTGTGCAGTGACCGTACAAACAGTGACCAATCATCAACCTCTGTTTAACCTAATCCCCCATCCTGGTCATGAGTAGCTCCCCGCGTGCACACTTTATCCGCAAGATACTCACCGGCCTGCGTGTGCACTTTATCCACAATATACTCTGTGTGTACACACTTGATCCGCAATATACGTCCTGAATAAGCGGGTACACTTGATCCGCAATATACGTCCTGAATAAACGTGACTTGATCCGCAAGATACGTCCTGAATAAACGTGCTCCGTGCACACTTTTCTGATCATTACGTGACTGAATATACGTGTTCCGAATTATCGTCTGTTTCCTTTATAGCTGGGCTATAGCTTAGCTAGTTTCGGTCTGTTTCCTTTATAGCTGGGCTATAGCTTAGCTGGTTCGCTGTTTCCTTCTACTGAATAAATGTTCCGTGCTACACGTCTGTATCCTCTGTAGAATAAACGTGCTCCGTGCTAAACATCTGTTTCCTTTATATGCAATATACGTACCGAATAAACGCATTTCGTGCTACACGTCTGTTTCCTTTATAGCTGGGCTATAGCTTAGCTGGTTCTGAGAGTCTAGCTAGATGTTGGAGATTTCTGAGTCGGTCAGGCTTTACTAGCGTAGCTATCCGCTACAGTACTTTAATGGTTGCGCCAATATCGTGATTATGGAACAATGTGATAATATTAATGTAACAATTGTCACATGCACAAAATATTAGTCTAACAGGAGAAATTATCCTAAACTAAATGGTAACATTAAATATACTCTGTTTTGATAACATTCTGATAATGGTGAATCAGCATTGGGTTTCATCATACAAAAAATAATCAAATTTAAATAATATGGAGTAATTACGACTTGAAAATTTGGTTAATGATACGCTTTGGTATTCAATAGATAAATCGATACTGCCCGTCAAAGAATTTGTTTTATTTAAGGAGATTAACATTGTCACATTTCATGAAAATATCAATCCGGATTGCAAAGAAACAGAAGATGTTAATTCCTTTGTCATAATTGTTACAAATGAAACATGAAATAATTTTGGGTTTTATATTGAGACTGTCTCTGTAATTAAAATACGTTGCTTGACCCAGAATAATGGCGAATAGCTCCAATGTAGTAGCTCTAAGTAGATATATGATTTTGGTCTTCTACTATGATTATCCATTTACAAATAAGCAGTGGCTTTATTTTTCAAATCCAAAACTATTTGAAGTTGACATATCAAAAGAAGAAAACTTGTAATCAGATAAAGGAAACCCGTCCGCCCCATAAAGCACTTGTGGAACACAAACGTCACCGCTGAACTAGTAATCTCATGAGCCCCCAAGACGGTCTTGAAAGCGCGGCTGTGCAACTTCGCGGTACTTGTCGGTACTCACACCACACACAGGACATTTCCAAATAAATGTGCTCCATGTCATAAGTCTGTTTCTTCTATAGCTTTGCGGTAGCACAGCTAATCTCGGAATCCTAACCAAACACAGAAGAATTTGAAATAGAGAATCCCGAGTACAGTCAAGGCTTATTAGTGCAGCAGTCCACTGCATACTGTTCTCTCTCTCTTGATTAAAATATGAACAGTTATATTGGTCACTCAATTTGTGATTTCATTGTCATTAAGCCAAATGACCAGTATTTTGCACTGTGTTTACTGAATTTATGATCGATTTTGCATATGCCTGCAAAAAAATAGTTTTAAAAAATGTTCGGCATATTGGCTTTAACTCATTAAGTTCCCAGAATCGAATGACGGCATATGAATGACTACGTTCGATAATGATAACTTCCCAAGCGAAACAAATCCATTCTCAACAAATAAAAAAGTCCAATTTGAGAATATTTATTCATAATAATCTATGGAGAAATGGCTACAACAATGTTATGTTAAACATCTTTCAAAACGGCAAAGGTAGTGACTCTCGAATCATATTTTGTGGCACTTTACTATCTAGTAAAGGTAATTTTTTGCACAATCAATACTTTTCACAATATCTATGAGCACCTTATTGTGCGTCGATTGTAAATAACTCGTAATCGTTGCTTTGTAAATTTTAAAGCTTTCATTATTATCAATATAATTTGTAATATAATATAATGCGCTACTATGATAATGTTATGAAAATCCACCCCAAACATTTAGTTAAGAGTTGTAAATTCAAACCAAAAGCGAAATCTTTATTGGCCATTACAATGAACACGAATCAGATGAAAGGGGGGGGGGTATAGTTTAGAAGCCGGTCGCTTAGCAGTATCTCTTGTAGTGCTTCCCTAAAATATTAATAGCATATTTGATCAAAGAAAAACACACTCAATTATCGATTTACAATAAATATGGCTCACTCACTTGTATTGTAATAGCAAGCACCGCCGCATGGTTTGTCAGGATCTACAAATTTATTAAAAAGGTTAATATTTTGGTTAAGAAATTCATTCTCCCACCCCGCCCACCCTGCCCCCCCCCCGG